ACCCACAGAAATCTATCAGCTAAACCTATTGACTCTGGCTTTAAATATATAATTACTTCCAGAATCTACTTCTCACCATTTCCATCATTCTTTCCTCATCCAAGTATTATGTTGGCCCCTCTTCCATCTATTCCATCCATTTTCCACATGTAGCCACTTGTGAGTGCTCCAGTGGACAACCCAACTAAGCTCCCAGCCAACAGCCAGCACCAAATGCTAGTCTTGTGACGGAGCATGGACGTCTAGCTCAATCAAGCCTTCTGATGACTGTCGCCTCAGCCACCATCTGACCCAACCTCATCCAGAACCCAGCTGATCCAAGTCAGCCCACAAGACCACAAAAGACAATAACAAAGTGTTCTAAGCCACCAGTTTTGGGGATGGTTCATTGTGCACAATAGATCACCATAACAGTGGTAAACCAGATGAACAATGTATCTGCCCTTGGAGTATATTCTCTAGTGAAGAAAATAAGCAAATAAATTACTAAATAGAAACTATCAATAAATGCTGTAAAAAATTATGTCATTGTAAGTTAGGGGTGGGGGGGCGGGAAAGTGCTCTCTGAAGAATTGACATTTGTGCTGAGATCCAAACGATGAGTAAGACCTATCCATTCAATCATCTAGGGACTGAGTGTTGAAAAAAAGGCTAAAGCTCTTGACATAGTCACTCTTGTATGGGGAACAGTCTTTTTTCACACATTTAGATCCTTTCAGAGGTGGTAGTAAGTGGCAGCTAGGATACATTCATCACATTCCAGATAAACTGCAGAATATTATGCAGTTGCATGTTATAAACCATTAAATGGAACTGTTCAAGACATTTTTATAGTTGTGATGCACAAAATAAAAAAGTGTCCATTAAATATTGCTTCAGTAAAATGTGCATAGTTTGCTGCCCATGATGAGTAAAAAAGTATTTATTAAAATTTAAAATTTTTAAATAAAAATAAGTAAGTAAATAAAATTAGTATGTATCATCCTGGTCATAAGAGAAGGGGATGTGGGCTCAGGGGGAGGTAGCATTTCTTTCTACTGCCACCAGGGGGCAGGCAGGGCTTCCATAAAGAGTGGTTCCTAGTGGCTGAAGAAGGGGTGACTTTTTTTTTTTTTTTAAATATATTTTATTGACTTTTCACAGAGAGGAAGGGAGAGGGATAGAGAGTTAGAAACATCGATGAGAGAGGAACATCGATCAGCTGCCTCCTGCACACCTCCTACTGGGGATGTGCCCGCAACCAAGGCACATGCCCTTGACCAGAATCGAACCTGGGACCCTTCAGTCTGCAGGCCGACGCTCCATCCACTGAGCCAAACCGGTTAGGGCAGAAGGGGTGACTTTAATTCCAAAGAAAACCAGCAGTATCTTCCACCTCCTGTGCATACTTTTGAGAGACTAGAGACTCAAATAAAGAACAAGGTGGAATGGGTACAGTAGTGGACCAGGGTGAGGCCTATCACTGATGCCAGTGGGCTTTAGGCTACCCCAGAGGAAGACTGTGACCCATTTGGAAGAGAAATTGTGGCACTCCTTGGGCACTGGAGGGACTTCCCATAGATGACTTCCAGGAGGTGACACTACACAAGAAAATGTTATTTGTTCCTTCCTTAAAAGCAGCAGCCAGCACATTTAAAAAGCAGTCAGGAGTCAATGAAATTAAAAACCTATGTGCTTTCAATAAGTTGCTTTGTACTATAGTGTTTAAAACACTTCAGCACCATAATCAACATAGTCCTCAAAAATACCCAAACACATGAATTTCTTAAGGCAGAAACCATCACCATATTTTCCAAAGAAGGAAACTGGATCAGAGAGATGAAGCAACTTGCCCAAGATCACACAGCAACATCAAGAGTTACTGAAGCCAAACTCTTCTAATTCATACCATTACTATTGTAGTTATTAATGAATAATGACCAATAATAATTAAATAACTTATTATTACTTGTTAACAGTATTATTATTACTGTTATCAGAGCTGCCATTCATTGAGGGGTTACTCTGTCAGGCACTTGTACAAAATGTATCTCCATGCCTTAGGTCATGTTCTACTAAAAACATATTCTCCTCCCATATTAATTAGAATTCTTAATTCTTAGAAACTGAGAAGCCTAACTTGCCCTGAGCTCAAGGACGGAATGAATATAGAAAAAGATGGAAAGGTGAAGTTTTTCCCCTTTATTTCCCTACTCCCTTTCATGTTCTTAACTGTTACTCAGAGATTTGAACTCTGAAGATTGAGGATAGCTTTTGACTGATATTTAAAGTAGTTTATATTTCTGGGTGCTTATATAGTTTTTAAAATATGAACATTAAAATATTTATTTTAGCCCAGATAGAGTGGCAGAGTGGTTGAGCATCGACCTATGAACCAGGAGGTCATGGTTTAATTCCTGGTCAGGACACATGCCCAGGTTGCAGGCTCGATCCCCAGTGTGGGGTGTGCAGGAGGCAGCCAATCAAATGGTTCTCTCTCATCTTTGATGCTTCTATCTCTCTCTCTCTCCCTCTCCCTTACTCTCTGAAATCAATAAAAAAATACATTTTTAAAGTATTTTAAAATAGCCGAAACCGGTTTGGCTCAGTGGATAGAGCGTCGGTCTGTGGACTGAAAGGTCCCAGGTTCGATTCCGGTCAAGGGCATGTACCTGGGTTGTGGGCACATCCCCAGTAGGAGATGTGCAGGAGGCAGCTGATCGATGGTTCTCTCTCATCCATGATTCTAACTCTCTCTCTCTCTCTCTCTCTCTCTCTTCTTCTCTGTAAAAAATCAATAAAATATATTTTTTTAAAAAGTATTTTAAAATAAAAACAACATATACAATAGTGTTTAGTTAGTAGGTCACATCAATTCAAGAGATGGAACTTCTAGTGTATAAATCCACCCATTGTTCTTCCCGTTTTAATTAAGACAAAATCCAGATAAAATTGATAAAATATGTAATTAACTATTAACTATTCTAAAGTAGCAATTCAGTGGGATTTCACTAATAAATAATGACACTGAGCATCAAAGGGAGAGGGAGGAGAGAGAGAGAGAGAGAAAGAGAGAGAGAGAGGGAAAGAGAGAGAGAGAGAGAGAGAGAGAGAGAGAGAGAGAGAGAGAGAGAGAGAGAGAGAGAGAGAGAGAGAGAGAGAGAACTGAGCACCTGCTATGTGCCAAGTCAGAACTAACCATCCTTTTCTTCTCTCCCAGAAAAATGCATCAACCCTTCCCTGGTTCACTGAATCACAGCACTGATTCCAATGTGTTTTTGGTTTGCGTTTGTCTATCTCACTGATAACTTGATAGTAGAGATGTAGTAACAAGGAGTTAGATTCTGAAGGTAAAGCAGATTTGCTGATGGGGTCCACAGGGGGTGTGAGAGAGAAGAATCAAGGATGACTCCAAGGTTTTTGGCTGGGGCAACTGAAAGAGGAGAGGTGCCATTAACAGAGATGAGCCGACTACAGGTGAGCATGTTTGGGGTGAGGGTAGAGGGTATTATAAGCTCAGTTTTGGAGATATTATATCTGAGATGCCTTTAGACAGCCCCGTGCAGGTGGCAACCTGGATTCAGGGAGAGGGTCTAGGCTAGAGATATGGGGTGTTGTCACCGCACAGATTACATATGACACGGTAGTGGATGTCATTTCCAGGTACTGCCTTGGCAGGGGGTATAAAAGGCAGCCAGGCCACAACTGCATGCTCCATGCAGACTGCCAAGACCACTTAGCTTCAGACATCCACACACCTGGCCCTTCGCATTTACACCTGCTTATTTACTGCTTTGGGAATAAACTCAAGTCAAAGCATCTTGATTAAGTTGCTCCCTTTGTACTCACAGATGAACACATCACTTATGTGTCCTGAGGGCTCTTGGGAACCCTCAGAGGCAACCTAAACAGTCCCATCTGTGTTGGCTCCACGAACATCACTACCACCATTGTGTTAAAGGCAGTTGCACTCTTACTTGTGGGGTTCACAGGTGCCCCTCGCCCTATCCATCCCTACCCCTGGACTCCAAATCCCAAGCCAGAATAGCCTATACCCTTTCATACATTTATCATTTGCTAACTGAGCACTTACATGTCCTGACCTATATCAGGTTCAGATTGGAAGTCAGCCCCCGAGCCTCTAGGAAGCCCAGAGTCTAATGGAAATTAAAGGAAAGTAACACCCAGGGTGATAAAGAATATGTCAAGGTACGTCAGGGAGCTGTGGGAGCAGAAGGAAGGGGCACCTACAGCAGCCCAGTGTTTCAGGGAAGACTTCCTGGAGGAAGCAACAACTTATCTGGTTTTGTAAGAGTGGCTCAGGCAGTTGAATGGGGTGTGTGGTTGGTGGAACAGGGCATTCTAAGCCAAGCCACTATGTTGGGAGGGAGGGACAGACTGCATGTCACTCATACAGTTGATGCCAATTGTGCCAGAGGAAGAGACGGAAGATAGAGCAGGGATGGGCATCCACCTAAGGACCTGTTTTACAGGAATCCAGAATTATATAACCAGAAGGGGAGGTGGGCAAGGGCAGGCTTCAACCCAATGGGCTTGGCTTCAAAGCCCGTGGGCGCTCTAAGGACCACCTGCAACACAAGCTCATGAGGAGCCTGGTAAAAATTCGAAGGCCGGGCTACACCCAGCCCAACTGAATCCATAGGGTCTGGACCCCAGGAAACGGCATCATTTTCACTCTTACTTGTGGGAAACAAACAGTTGTGGTGAACAATCATCAGAAAACTGCCACACACAGCTCCCGCCTCTGCAGCTCTGCCCTTGCTGATAGGGGCCTGGTTCTCAGGGCCCCTAGGAAAGGCGGAGGATGATTCCTTTACATGGTCATGGATGTACTTACACAGACGCTCCCAGCCAAACCCGGGGAGTCCTGGGAACGACTGTCAGAGGAGGCCAGTAGGGGAGGAGTAAGCAGACTGGCTGCAGTGGGAGGAGATAGGGGAGTTTAGCAAACAAGCCCTAGTCCCCAGTTCTTCCCAGCCTTAAAGAGACAGGAGGCAAAGAACCAAGGAAACAGTCATTTTTTATTTCACAACCAGTACATCCCATCTACCACACCACCATGGTAGCACAGCCGGGATCGAGGCCAGTGCTGCCCGAGAGAACTTTCTGCGCTGATGGAAATGTCTGCCCAGTACAGTAGCCACTTAACCACTTCCGGTTACTAAGCACCTGAAATGTGGCTGGCACAGTGGGGGGAGTGAAATTTTAATTTAAATTAACTTAAATTCAAATGCCACATTGGCTCGTTGCTACTGTACTACACAGTGCAGCTCTAAGCTCTGGCCTAGCCCAGGGGCACTTTGGGGAGAGCAAGTACCAGAAACAGTCCTTGGGGTCACAGCACCCCTCCCCAGAGAGAAAGAGCAGCCGGGCCATGAAGGGTCAGGGCTCAGGGTCTCAGAGCGGGGGCACGCCGCGGGCACGCCGGATAAGGTTAGCCAGCCTCTTGGCCAGGCCGCCCGTTCTGGGCTCCTCGATGTGGAAGGTCCGGGTGAGGAGGTTGTAGAAGGAGCCGTAGCACACGGCCACCACCGTGCACGTGAGGCAGATGACGTTGTAGGGCATGCTGAAGTCCGGCGTTGGCAGGCTCACCAGCAGCGGCTCCGTGTAGAGCCGCATGAAGTAGCTAGAACTGTCGGAGACTGGGAACCTGAGGGTCAGGGAGGAGTGGTGAGGCAGGACCCCTGCTCCTCCCTACCGTACCCCATTCCCCTCGGGCTGCACTGGGCCAATGCTCGGTGGTCGGGATTTCCAAAGTTCTCTTAGCCTCCCAGCCTTTCCAACAGAAGACATCTGAGATGAAGGTCCATACATAAAGCTGACGGAGAGCTGCCTGTGCTGCGGGGAAAGGGCCCTGCCCTCACTTGGCTGCCTCTTCCACAGCCGTCGTTCTCAGCTAAAGGCCGCCTCCTCAGAGAAGCCTTCCTGGACACCCACCAGGTCACTCCCAGCACCACCTGGGACCCCACTGCTCTCTAGAGCAGAACCTCCCCTCTGGCGGCTCTCAGGGTCCCTAGAGAAGGCGGAGGATGGTTCATTTTCATGGTCATGAATGTGCTTAGCAGTAGCCGGGCAGGGGCAAGCCTTCTGTTTACTGTTGGGCAGCAGGCACTCTCTGGAGTTCCTGGCATTCCATAAGTGCTCAATCAAATCCTTGCTAAGAGCATCCGTGAGTAAATATAGGCTTTAGATACTGCTCTTCTCGCCTATCTATTCTTCTGGAAACTTTAGAATCATTTTATAAAGTCTGTATTAACATGACAGACCACTGGGACCCTTATTAGGACTGAGTGAAATCTCCACGTTGCTGGTGGAGAGGCAACACTGAGCCCAGCCCACCCTGCAGGAACCGGACCATCTGAGCCGATGCCCCCTGAGGTCACACTTACAGGCTGCTGAAGAGGGGACTCTCTTCCCAGTCCACGGGTTTGGCTGCCACCACGCTGGGCACGAGGGCACTGAGGACAGACGGGCTGCAGAGAAGCAGGCGGGTATTCCGTGAGGCAGGGTTGATGGCAGATAAGGTGGGTCAGGAGGGCGGGGGCAGCACGTGGGGGTCGTAGCCCACCTGACGTAGAAGCCGTGGTTGGGGTCCGGGGTGTACTCCGTCCACTTGAGCAGCGCCCGCTCAAACTGGATGGAGACCTTGGTGACTGAGCTGGCCGGCAGCTGAATGAGCATCTCCAGGAGGTGGGGCTGCAGCCGGTCCTGGGCAGGCTGGTAGTGGATGTAACCTGGAGACAGGCACGGCTCAAGCATCCCCCACACCTCCTCCCTGGGGTCAGACTACCTGCACCTCCTGCCCCACCTATCGAGGCCTTGAGGCCCGGATCTGGGCACCCAGAGGTGGGCTCTGGATCACCGAAGCCGGGCAGGCTCAGGGAAGGGAGCAGGGTCTTAAAAAAGGAAAAAGGTGTTTCCAGGGCAGCCATCCAGGCAAGCAACGGATCAATCTTCACATCACGAAAACTGGGCAGCAGACATCAAGTGCCAGAAGTGATGCAACAAGAAGTTCACAGAACCACCTGGGCGTTTTCCCGCCAAAAACAGGGGACCTGAATCTAATGAAGTCTCTAACACTAACCGTCAATATCCAAGAAAGACAGGGGATGGAGGAACATGTAAACACTGACACAGCACAAATCCAGAATGTAGCACATTCCGTACAACAAATGACCCAGCTTGCCCAACAAAACAAAACAAAAAATGGAAACTGTTAGAGATTAAAAGAGACTCAGGCCCTGGCGGGTAGCTCGGTTGGTCAGAGCCTTGTCCCGATATGCCAAGGTTGCAGGTTTGATCCCCGGTCACAGCACATACAAGAATCAACCAATGGATGCATAAATAAGTGGAACAACAAACTGGTATTTCTCTCTTTCTCCCCCCCTTCCTCTCTCTTTCTCAAATCAATAGATTTTTTTAAAAAGAGAGAGAGATTTTTTTAAAGATATTGGGGGAAACAGGAATAATGATGATAGGCCATATATTTTTTTTAAGTCCTTTATCTGTTGAGACATATACTAAAGTACTTAAAGGCGAAGTGACATGATGTCTAGACTTATTTAAGATACTCCAGCAGAAAAACAGCCACACTAGAAAAAAGTGTGTGGTGGCGGGGAGGGGGGATGATAAAAATGAAAGGAAGCCGGAGACTGCTGAAGCTGCTGGCGGGTGCAGGGGAGCTGATTGCCTATTCCAGCTGTGTTTGAAGTTTTCCAGAGCAAAAGGTAAAAATAACCCTACAAAATACATAGATAGGATGTTCAAAGCAGGTATTTTGAAGGTGGTACAAGTAGTGGTGCTGACAGTGAGTAAAACTATTAACCACAGGCTTGAAAACATGGGAAACGACAGAGGGGTTTCAAGAAGACGTGAAGCCTGGCCATCGGGGGTGTGCGATGACTTTCCCTGAGAAGCCCTTTCTGAAGCATCAGTCTCTCCCCACTCCAGAGAATAACAAGTGCTTTATTTAGTGCCATCCTGGCACCTAACAAAAGCAATCCAGGAAATATTGACTCCCCTTCAGAAAAATAATAGGAAATAAAAATAAAGTTTAAAACCGACACTTCTTCCCTTTTAAGGAAGCAAAAACCATCCTCTCCAGGCCTGTAATCTTCTTTATTCCCAATACTCTGCTGTTCTTGCTAGCCCTTCCACTAGCAGAAAGAGCCTGTGAACCATCACAAAAGATGGTGCCTGGAGCCCCAGGAAGGAGAAAGTGAAAAAGACAGGAAACTACTGCCCTCCTCAGGCCTCACTAAGAATCACCAGTCTATGTGTGGATCATTTTTGCTTTATAAATTACTCCAGACCTGGCATTAGTGAGGCTACCCTTTCCATTTGTCAAACTATCCCTAACGTTTTCTGCCTGTGTAGTTTTTCTGGGGTATGGACTTCAGGAATTACCCTGAGAAATGAGGGTTTGGGAGACCTGGAGGAGAGCAGGGTGGGTAGAGGTGGGGAGACTAGCTCTCACTTGGCTTGTTCTCCTTGCCCTTGGAGGTGATGGTAAGGGTGTGCACATACAGCCGCAGGTACCAGGGCACGATGTCCAGGAGCAGCACGGGGAAGGCCCGGTACGGGTGGGTGTTGTACAGCAGCGTGCTCAGCTCCCCGCTCTGCAGCCCATAGCCACTCACGTACCGCTGGGCGTGCAGGAAGGGCACTGGCGGGGCCTCTGCGTAGACCAAAGTCAGCAGTTAATAGCTCCTCGAGGACAGGGTCACTCCCCACTGCCACTCCCCAGGTCACATTCAGAGTCTCAAAGCCAGGAGGACATGGTGAAGAACTTTGCCATCAGAACTGGGAAACCTGCGATCTGGAATCATCCCCATCTCCCCCAGCCCACAGCAACACAGAACTACTGTTATTTCCTAAATAGTCGTATGTGCTGAGCTCTGTGCCCCTGCCAACCATACCAGGTGCTCTCATGGTATTCTGCACTTTGCCTGGGTAACACTGAACTCAATCGCAATTAATTAATTGTTTGATGTCTGCCTCAACTAGCAGACATTGTTTCTCAAATGCAGATGCTATCTTCTGTCTTCAAAAAATGTTTGTTGATGAAATGAATGCATGGACAAATTCCCTATTTTACTAGTACATTAGGTATCTCATCCAATCTGCGAGGTGTTTCTGTCCTCATTTTCCAGAGGAGGAAATAAGGTTAGGAACCTGCCCACGGTCAGAGAGCTTTGAAGAAATGGATGTAGAACCAGATGCTGACTCTAGAGATCTGAGTCTAAACACTAGCCTGTTATCGCATGATGATGAGCTGACATCTCAGTGTGTGGTGGCCCGCCCTCACCCACCATTCTCCGGGGGTCTCTTCCACTTGAGCTGGAGGTTGAGGTTGCGGGAGCTGTTGATCACAGCCGTGTTGAGCAAGTCGTAGACAGCGTAGGTCTTCCGGGTGCCCAGGATGACATCCTGGTACGTGGTGAGGGGAGGCGGGTTCACCTCCAATGTCTCATTGTCCTGGGGACACAGGGCAGGGCTGAGAAGTGAGCAGAGGGGCAGACTGGCCTTGGGGATGGGCAACGGCTATGGCTGGAGACCTTGGTACCTGGCTGTAGCTGGTGATGTCCACGTAGACTCGGCTCTCTGAAGCCAGGGGGCAGGGCTCTGTGAGGGTTCGGGAGAACATCCGGAAGAGGGACCAGTCTGGGGAGAAGAGAGCAGGGTTGAGCAGGGGCTGGGACTAGGACTGACGTGCACAGATAGGGTGGGGCTGGCAATGGGTGAGCAGAGATAGGTTGCCATGGTAGCTTACCTTTCTTCCCCTGCCCCGTGACGAAGGCATCAAATACAACGGAAAGAGTCTGCCTCAGCTCCCAGGAGATGCTGGTACACCGAGCATTCTATCCAAGGGCCAGACAGCAGCAATGAGGACATATCACTCCAACCCCAGAGCCTCTGGGACTCCTACCCAGACTTGGTCCCTTGTCTACAATGTATCCTTCCTACCCATTGATTTGCTACCACTCACTACTGAGCACTTGACCTTGTGCCATACCCTGTGCCAGCAGCTTTATGCATCAGTTGGAACCATTGCCAACAACCGTGGGAAGAACTACTACCATTACTCTCACTTGACAGATGGGGAAACCAGGCTCAGAAAAACAAAATGATTCACTCAAGGTCATGCCAGCCGGCGAGTGGCTGAGCTAGCAGGTATACTGCGTAGCTATTCTGAACCACTAAGCTCCATGACAAAGATTTATTGAACGCTTGCCAGGCAACCACTTGGTTTCCTTGGTGCGTGGCCAATGTCCCAAGAAGTCATCACTGTATCTACCATTTACTACTGGCTCAGCCTGGGCTACGTGCTTTGCCTGCACTTTCTCTCAGAGCCTCTGGATGGCACCCACCCCCATTCCCCATGACTTACTCTGCAAATAGGGCGGATGTGCACTGCCTGGGAGTGGTAGCTCGAGTGGAACAAGCGATCAGCCTTCAGCAGCATAGAGAGGCCTGCCTGGAGGAGGCGGGAAGAGATGTAAGGTCAGTGTCCTGGGCACCTGGGCATGAGGCAGAGGTTATCTGTAAACACACCTGGCTGACTGGCAGTGAAAGGGCATTTGCTAACTCCAGCCACTCTCTGGGGCTCCCACCCATGTTCAGACCACTCTGGCCTCACCTTGGAACTACAGGGCAAGAGCTTCTTCCAGGGGGTGAGGTTCTCGGTGCAGACAACCTCCCGTGGCAGCACGGCATAGCGTAGGAAATAGTGATCAGTGTCTGAGGAAGACAGAGGCCTGTCTGGGGCCCCACTCCTCCAGACCCACTCTCCTGCTCCCCATACACCTCTGGCGCCACCACCCTAATAGCCCAGCTGGGAGTGGGACCCTCCTCCCCCGGGAGAAGGCAATGCCCAGACAGCACAGTCTTGGGAAGCCTTCTTCTGGGGCCTGCACACCCAGGGGATGTATGATCTGGCCCCACGGAGGAAAGAGGAAGCTGAGGGAAAGGAAGCAAAGGTGTGGGCAAGAGGTAACAAGGAGAAGGAAAGGGCCACAGGGTTCTCACCATTGGCCAGCCCCAGGGGTTTGAAGGAGGCAGTGGGGGTGACCGTGTTGGTGGAGTCGATGAAGTTGAGAGAGGCGCAGAAGATCCCTGAGAGGACGTTACTGAGCTCCTTCCAAGATGTATCTACACTGGATGGAGACACAAACCCCCCACTGTCCCAGAGCAGCCTCTGCTCCTGTCCCAAAGCCTACGTTGGCTGCTACACCATTAGACCGGCTAGTTGATGGAGCTGGAACGGCATCACCGCCCCTGCCCAGCCCCTTCATCCTCGCTCCCTGAGCCACTCAGCTCTTTGCTCAGGTGATTCCTCTTCCTGCCTGGGAACGCCCCCCTTACTCCTCTCTGCCCACTTTCAAGGAGGCTCCCTCCTCAACCACAGCCTCCAACTGTACTGCTGCGGTTCTGACCATCTGAGCCTCTCCCTAGACTCTCCTGGGAAATGGCTAAGTGGTGGCAGCATCTTGTCCTAAGCATCGTTTCTCCTCAACCAGGAGGCTGTAAGCAATGAGGACAGGGAGCAAGTCTGAGTCGCCTATGGGTTTCACAACACCATGTGAAGTGCCCACGCCTCACAGGCTGACAACACTCGTTGATCCATACTTCTCTGGACCCTGGGCAGGAAGGTAAGTAAGTCTGGGTCCTACCTTCAGGGTGGGAGGTCTTACATCTATAAAGACTCACGAACAAGGGGAAACAAATATTCTGGGATTTAAAAAAATAAAACACACAAAAAACACAGCATTATCAAATTAGGTATTTTCTTCGTAGAGAAATACCAAACCAGATTTGCTCTCTATATTAATCATAGAAAGCACAAAACTAGAAATCTAAACATCAGCTCCACATTACAGGCAGTTAGGGGCTGAGGGAAGACAGTGATGGCAGAGCAGGTGGGGGAAAGGTAGGGACTAGTGTTCAGGTAGAAGCCTTGGCAAGTTTGTGGGGGGCACTGCTTGCTCCTCATTTGATATCACCTTAGTGCTGTCCTGGGTTTTTCGATAATCCTCTGTTCAGGGCTTTTCAATCGCTCCAAGCTTTGAGCCTCATATAAAGATTGCACACTTGAAGCCTGAAAGCTCTACCCAAACCAGAATTGTGTTTCATTTGGTGTGCACAACACTGACCCACATAGCATGTCTTAAATTTTTAATTTCTTACTGATATTTAAATTTGCAAATTTTCACAATAAAATCTAGATTTCATGTATCTCTTAAAAAAACAACAATAATCCAGAGGGGACGAGTGTCAGCCATCCTCTTAAGCTCTGTAGCCTGCCACAGTCCCCACCACTCCCTATTATCGCCCTAAAATTTATCTTATCATACTTGTGCAATTGATTTCTCCTAGTGGAACTAAGAGGAAATTGTGGTACAATAGCAATACCCAACCCCAACCCCTCCCGAACGAAAGCAATTCCTCTAATATAGAGATCTGGCATCTTGTAAGCCCATTCTAGCCCAACAGTGTTTTGTTTGGCCTTACATCCAAGTAAGCTTCAATTATTTGTTATCTGCCTCTGCAGAGCTACTTATGTGTTGTGTTACCTCCGGTCTGGAAGTAGGTAGGGGAAAGAAGTATATTCAGCAAAGTAAAGCATGCCACTCAGTGGTAACATTATTTCTTACTTCCAAGGCAGCTTTATCCCCATGGAATTACTGCCTGCTGGAACTGCTGTCCCCAATGGCAGAGGCAAGATAACACTTTCCCCTGCCACAGCCCCGCCATGGCCTGCAACAGGCCTCAAGGTGCGCACTCACTCCGTGACGGTGTCTTGGAACCAGACCCAGAGCTCGGCACCTGATGGGGCCTGCAGGAAGGGTGGCCCCCAGTACCGAGTCCTCCAAAAGCCTTGAGTGAGTGACAGGTGCAGCTCCCGGAGAGAATACTTGGCGATCAACTGCCCCAGGGCTTTGGGGAAGAGCCTATAATGAGAAACTAGAGAAGGGGGAAGCAGGTGAGAGATGATCCTGGTGGGAGGGTTCCCGGCCACCCCAAAGAAGCAGTAGACCCCAGGCTCTGGGATCAGAGAGATCTGAATTCCAGACCAGACTGTTACCAGCGATGGATCTTAAGCAAGTGCCTTTACCGCTCTACACCTCTAATTTCTTCCTAGTTATCTTTCCCAGAACGTAGCACCCGGTGTAAATGGCAACCAGCAACATCATCATCAGTGTTGTGGACAGAGGGCTCAACTGAAGTTCAGAGTGGCAGCCTGGAGCCGCGGAGCGAGCACTGGGCTGGGAGTCGCTGCCCCGCTCCGGACCTTGGCTTCATCAGCGGTACAATGGGGTTCTTCAATAACTATCCCATCCTCCCCCCACGGACCCACTGTGTCCGGCTCCTCGCCCACGGGCCAGAACCCCACCAGGACGAGGACCCTCCCGCAAGGCTTGCCCCCACCCACTCCCAGCAGGTGTCACAGTTAGTTTCTCCGTCCAGTGTCGTCCTCTCACCTTCTTCGCGCTGCAGCTCCGAATCCCAGCGCGTGCGGAACTGGAATGTGGCGGCTACGTCTCCAGAAGGCAGCGGGGTGATGACGAGCTCCTCCCGCAGGCTGTCGCGCGGGGGCTCTGCATGGCCCCAGCCGCCCCGCCCCAGGAGC